CTGTTTATCAATAAAATTTTGAAAAAAAAAAAAGAAATTAAGGAGAGAAAAAGTAAAATTGAAAAAAGAGATGAAAAAAAAATGAGAATATATGTTTGGGAGAAAACACCAACAGTGTGGCCAAGTGGCCATTTGATAAAAAGATTAGTATGGTCAGCCAGATGTCATTCATCAAGGCATTTCATATATTTTTGGGACTACTACTACCATCTATGACCCAGAGTACAAGAGCTTTGGGGGTAATGTAATTTCAAAGGAGGTGTTTTAGGCAACAGTAGGGCCTTGTTGCTCACTGGCTGTCAGTTCTCCTGCCTGCACCAGCACTCTGAACCCTAGTATAAAGCCAAGTTGTGGCATTAGTGATGTCTTAGAGAGCCACAGAATCCAGACAGGAAATCACTGAGTGAAAGCCCTTTGAGAACCCACAAGACAATGCTTAGTACTGTCTGGTGATAGGGCTATCTCTAAGCACTAGGCTAGTAGAGCAATCTGGATATAATTCTAGCCAACAGAGCTGGACATGTGGAACTCAGGGTGAGAGTTATCAGAAAAGTAAGTCTACTACAGGCCTGCCTAAAGCTGTGAGAACAAAGCTAGTGCCCTAGTGAGTCCAGAAGGCAAGGCCTCAACCCAGTGAATCTGAAGGGCAGAACCTTGAGTCAAAGATAATTCTTGAGTTTAAAGATTGGGACCTAATGCCCCTTCCCCTTTTTTCTTTCATTGCTACTTTTTGCCATGAAAATATTGATCTTATCTCCAGAACTGTGAACAACATTCTGCTGTTTATAAGCCACACAGCAACCCAGCTGGACTGAGCCAGTTATTATGTCTTTTTTCCTGTGGTGTATGGCATTCTTTTCCTGTTTCATGAACTTAGGCTTAAGGAATACATTTTACAAGTGGTTCCTCAGTTTGAGTTTGGGTAATGTTTTCTCATGATGAGACTGGAATTTCAGATTTAGGCAAAGAATGCCATATAGGTGGAGAAATGCCCCTCTTTTACATCATACAGAGAGTATACTATTCTCCTGTTATCACTGATAAGGACAACCTTGATCATGTGGATAAGTCGATGTTTGCCTTGTTCCTTCATTGCTCCCTGTTATGGTAAGTCCAGCTTATTTTAAAGGTGAGGAGTGGAAACTAAGTTTTTACTCTTCTTGTGGGAGATGTCTACATATAATATTTAGAATTCTTAAACAAAATATGGCTCTCCTCTCTTAAGCAAAATATGGCTGTCCTCTCTATTGGATCGTGTATTTACTCTTTTAACATGAATTCTGTATATGGATACATAGAACTACATAACTACATTCTATAAAAGTTATAATTCCCTCATTTAAATGTGAGCCCTTTAAAGTAAGGCTGTGTTCACCTTTGCACATTTTACACATGTAGTATAGTCCCTTAATTTGTAGTGGCCATCAAATAAGTATTCACATTAACTGAAAAGTACTGTTTCTTGAGTTAAATATATAGTGGCATTATAAATTAACATAGGTTTTAAAGTAAGTAAAACACATACCTAATTACATTTTAATATGTATCTAACAAAATGGAAGGTACTATGGAAATATCTTTACATTTGAGATTGTGTATTCACAAAACATTCCTTATAGCTACCTGAATATTCCTGGCCAGAAATATGTTATTTTGTTTCTTGTTTTTTTTGTTTAGTTTACCAGAACAGAGTAAAACCCAACTTTCTGCCTTCTCTGGAAAGTTATCATCTGATGCAGTCACGCAGATAACAACAGAAAGTCCAGAAAAGACCATGTTTTCATCTGAGATTTTTATTAATCCTGAAGATCGTGGACATGAAATTCTAGAGCCCACTACTCAAAAGCTACAGAAAGTTCCTGGCAGGTTTGCTTCATCATCTTCCATGCAACAGATTACTTCTAATCGTGGCATAGATGGTAAGAGACTGTGATTATATTTAAGGTCATTATGCCTACTTTCATGTGTAAGCATCTTAGAAATTTGTTATTGTGTCTTTTTAGTTAAATCTAATTTTAATTTAAAAAGAGTCCACATTATATCCATTTTTTATTTATATAGTTATGAAGAGGATGTGGTTTCTTTTTATCTTAATTTGCAACAGAATTAGCTATATATGGAATTCATGCTGCCTGGGGTTGATCTGTTTTTCATCTCATTATGTTTGATGTTTGTTAATAAGAGTGCAGGTACGGTAGTATATAATAACTTAAAAACAATTGGAATCTACTTTCAGGTAGACAAATACATTATTTTCATTTTGAATAATATTTATATTGTAATAAATAAGATGTAAAACTGTAATAGTGTAAATACAGTATCACTTTGTTTATTGTTTGTAAAACAGTACCTGTTAAGGGCATAGAGGAGCACCTATGGGAGATGTTTTTTATAGGCCCACCCTAGAAGTGGCCCAAATCACTTTCCAGCAGCATTGTTTTCCAGGATGAGGAAATGGATTTTGGTGAACAGCTAGCAGCCATAATAACACTAATAAGTGTTATCAAGCCCACTTTCTAGGTGAAGAAACTGAGGCCAAAAAGTATGTATTAAATAGTAGCTTCATTTTATTTAAATTAATTGACTGGTTTCTTATCGAGTGTGTGTTAGTGATATAGGGTAATGAAACTTTCAACCTAAAATTTGTCTGGGATGAGTTTGTGTTCTCTAAAACTAAGACTGAATTTTAGGAACAACAGAGGTTAAAAGCTGAATATGTTTATTGAGGAAAAGAAAGCTTCTGTCAGAGAAGGACAGAAAGGGACCCAAGTGGTTTGCTAAGAAACCTGCCTTTTCTTGGGATTTTTATAGAGCAAATCCATGATGTGCGGTGGGCCTAAGGTGGGAAACATGGGAACTTGCAAGGTGGGCATGAGGTGGGCCAAAACTATGATCAGGTGAAGTTGCTCAGATAAAGTTGATTAAATTGAGATCAAATGGGGAAGCAAGTCACATAGCAAGCCAGGTTGAATATGAACAGATGTTTTTCCTGTAGAAGGTTGGGTTAGTGACTCTTCCTGGCCTTTTCAAGGTGACTAATACCTATTTAGAGTATCAGTTGCTGATGTCTATCCCTAGGGAGGTATGTGGGTACATTTGTTTAATCTTTTGTCTTGAGGTCTGGCCCACAGAGGGAGTGTCTGTCTCCCCCACAGTTGCAGGGTATCTTGTCTTCCATATTGTCTCCTCCTGAGGGCCTACTCTTGTCTGACTGACTATATTATTTCTAACTACATTAAAGTGTAAAGATCAACTTTTTTGTCACAGAAATTCCATTGCAGATGAGTAGCTGTGCACTTCCCCTTTTTTCTTTTCTTTTGATGTAAGAGATTGAACCCAAAATCTTGTGTATGCTAAACATGTACTCTCCCTCTGAGCTATACCCGTAGCCCTTTGACATTCTTTAATTATGACTTCTGTTTCTGGATGGAAGCTATTAGGATCTGTACTACCCAGGAAAAGGTGGTCTTTTCATGGGATCCCTTTAATGGAATTCCTAGAATTTATATACATACTATAGTCTTGCATTCATGCTATAGTCCAGAACTTGATCATTTCTTGGAAAATATAGGGAATAGATAAAAAGAGAGAAGGCTATAAATGAGGGACCACTTAACACTTTCTACCATACCATGCGAGAAAAACAAGTATAGTTGGCTCTCCATATTCATGGGTTTTGCATCTATGAATTTTACATAATCACAAAATATTCAGAAATTAATATTTGCATCTGAACTAAATAAGCACAAATGTTTTTTCTTGTCATTCCCTAAACAATCAGTACAATAAAAGTAACATAGAGATGCTTTAAAAAGCATACAAGAGAATTTGCAAAAGCTATGTCATTTTATATAAAGGACTTGAACATTCATATATTTGGTATCCATGAAAGTTCTGGTCTCGATCCCCAGCTACTAATGGACAGCTCTCTGTAGGAAAAAACTTCATCTTCTACACCAGTGTTGGCAAACGTATGACATACTTGCCCCAGCCAGCTGTTTGTTATTACTGAAAGCTCTAAAAGGTTAGCCATCACCATTCTATACTAATGAAATGGGGGCACATCTAGACACTTATCCTTATTAACAAAGAATTATTTCTTAATGATTGACTGTACAAGTGCTGTTTGATAAAGAGTACTTGGCATAGACATTTTAGAAAGCATTTGTGCCAGTTTGAATTTTTTAAGTTTCATACATAAGTGGCATAATTTTAATTTTATAATCAGAGAATTTACCTGAGATAGATAGTAGGGGAGAACAAGTATGCTATAGACAGAAATATCTTTATTCTCAGAATTCTTTATAGTTGAAAATTTTATTTCAAAAAGTATGTTTTGGTTATTAAATTAGAAAAACTAAATTTTTTTTTTGTCATACATTGGCAACCTCTTTAATATCTAGAGACTAGATATTATAAAATTAGGACCATGTTCAGTATATACAGCTATACATACAGTAAAGTTAAATGAAATTCATGTAACGTACAAACAATGGAAGAAAAACTAAATTTTAAGCTATACTTACTAGTTGATAATTATAAAAGCAATAAAGAAATGGGAAAATTGGTAGGATATACATTAAAATAGTTATTTTAAGTAGTCTGACCTTGTCTTTTTTAGTTTTATTAATATTAAGAATTTATACTTTTATAATGGAAATATTTTTCCAAAGCTATCTTATTACTGGCTGTGACTGGGAGTAGAATAAGACCACCTGCCATTGGGGTAAATTGTGACTAGATTTGGTTTCAATATAAAATAAATTTTTTGTTTAGAGCCATCTATATAAAAATTTGCTAAACATTCATCTTCTTAATGAAACATATTCCTATCATTCTAAATTACATCTTACCCCAGTTTCTCCTGTGGTCTTAGTCTCTTTAAATTTTTTTCAATATTAACATTAGACAATTTGCTTGTTTTAATTATGTATACTGTCTTCCACCTCTACAAATCTAGATCCTTTTGAAAAGAAAGACATGTATCTCAGGAAAGTTGAACACTCCCAGGCACACAAAAAATACTCAATATATACTCATTGAATTAATAATTATTTTCTTATTAATTGTTCTGATCTTTATCCATAGCCCAGCCTATACTATTGCCATATAAGCCATCTGGTAGTCCAAAGATGTACTATGTTCCACAACTACGAACAGTTCCTCCAATTCTGGATTCCAAATCAGACACCACCATTGAGAGCTCACATTCAGGTATTTTACAGAAATATTAAAAATTTTTGTTTTGAAATTTTATTTTTATGTTGGCTGGTTAAATATGAAATCAAAAGTAAAAGTTCAGTGCTCTTCAATCTTTCAGTGAAATGTGGAGCTTTTTATGTCTTGACTTCTGATTCAGATTAGGTTGATAATTTGATCAGTTATATCATTTAATAAACATTTAGTAATTATTTAATGAGGGAAAGTAGTACAAGTGTAGTTGTTTGAGTTGGTGGACTCTATCTCAGGAAAAGTGTCCCAAACTTTCTTGGTTCACAGCATCCTTAGTATCTGTTATTTTTTTCTCAAGCTAGAGATAATACATATAGTACAACGTGTATTTTTTCAAATAGTTCCTAAGTTGGTAGGGCATAAGTATCTTTAGTTTTTATCTAACAACTTAATAGACTTTTATTTCCTTTTGGCTTTTATAAAATTATTTTTTTAAAATCAAAAGCATTTTATTTCATTCCTATCTAACCACTCTTCTCATGAAATATTATGTAAAGTTATTGGGCCTTAGGCCGCTTCTCCTATCTTCAACACAGCTACTAGTTTTCCTTGCACTTTATTAAATTAAGCATTAAAAATACCCACCTTTGCAGAGACATGACAGTGTTGAAAGGAATATATCAGGTTCTGAGGTTGAGATTTTGAACTCATAATTTATGGAGCACATAAGATATTAAATATCACTATTGTTTTCCTAGAACAAAAATATTCCCCAGCATTCCTGTGTGTTCATTGCAGGGTAATTGTAGACTTAGGAAATGAGTAATACTTCCTAGAGGAGTTTAATAAGTACTTTCTTTGGGATTTTTAGAGTAAGAGTACCGAATAGGTATGGTAGGTTGGTAGGTTTTGATTGATGGGATAACATTTTTAGTAGACTGCAAGAGATGACATGCTTCACTTTAGACAATTTATTTTCTTTAAAATTTCCTATTAATACCTTTGTATTTGTAGAAATTGCAAGTAAAGGATAAGTTACTTTGGTATTATTTTGTTAATTTTTTTTTTTTTTTTTTTTTTT